GTTCTGGATTACCATAGTCTTGACAACAGTCCGCTACGAGGCAAGTACTTTGTTTTTAAAAAAGCTGTTTCAAATACCAGTAGCATCCACATTTTTTTATTTAAAAAAAACATGATAGCATTTTAGCTGCCATCGAAGCCGGACCTGCATAGGAAGAAAAGACGGAACTAATAGTAATTTGGCCAATATTGCTAACTGCGATCGATGTAGTTAATCCGTTCAGTTGACATCCATTCCCATTGCTCGATCTTAGACTTAGACCCCGGCCTAATCAGGTCACTAGAGCGGCAAAATCTGCACATCTCTCAGTGAGGAAAAGATTTAATCGCTGGGCCAACACTTCTATTCGCCTGACATTTCGACATCCGTCGCGGATTCTTCATCAGAGATCTGAACAGAAAGCAGTAGCAGAAACGTCCCAGTTTAGTCGTTAGTGGGTCGATTGTAGCATTTTGCAGATTGGGGTAATGGTGCAGTTTTTTAGAGTGTAGTCAACAAAATCATAGTTCCCCGATGATGTTTAAGTCATGCAATTCCAACTTAATGGGATTCTCATAACCCACTTGTCGGTAAGGATGACTTGTCTGGTCGCCTAACCAGGACACAGGTACAGAGACCGCCCACAATGCGTGTGGCTCTGCGCCAAATTCTGGGGAAATTGGGGTAAGTTTAAAGATTAGGTTTAAGATCAAAGTTGGGTATTATGATCCAAATTGGGTTAAGGGCTTGCCTTGACCATAGGATTAAGGTTTAGGGTAGGGCCAGGGCTAGGGTGAAGATCAAGGTCATAGTTTACTTTTACGTCAGGGTTAAAGCACGCGAATATTTACTCTTCCTGAAATTCCTCGCGGGTCATTCCAATTCCCGTGTCCTGCTTAGGTGACCGTACAAGTCATCCCTGCCCACTTGCCGTCTGGAATGGGACCAAGCTATAGGGCTGCCTTGAATTGCTTCAACAGCCTTTCAGAAGGCAAAAAATACGTGAAAACTTGGCGTATGGGCGCAGTGAAATAAGCAGGGT